CCGCCCATGGTGGCCGTGATCCGGTGTCGCCATCGCCGCCCGACAGGCAAGCCGCATCTAGCGCCACACAAGACCGTTCCTCAAGACTAAGATGAGAAAATGTCGATTCGGAAAAGACCGAGATGTTGAACACAAGTCGCTCGAAAATGTCGATTCGTAAAAAATTAGTGATAAAGCTGCTCACCGGATGGGATAAAAAGGAGCACGATGCCCATGCATTGATCTCGTGTTGCCCAACCTCCACGGGACAGATCCCGCACCACGCCAGTCGCTGCTCGTGCACCACCACTAGGAAGCCTCAGATTCAGGCTCGTGCCCGCCTCTCTCCCTGGGAGGTCGTGGCTCGAGGAGGGCGAGAGTCGTGCTTGAGGAGGCGCGAGGTCGTGCTTGCACGAGCGCCACCGCCAGCAAGGAAGCTCGGGCCATGAGCTCTCAAGGATCTGGAGTGTGGGGGGCCGCTTCTCGGGAGGAGTGCCCTGACCAGGCGCTGATCCGGAGAAGAGCAGGAGAGAAGAAAAGGGGCAGCGGAGGCGTCTGGTGACGGGAAGAAATGAGAGAGGATGAGGGTTAGGGTTCAAGGTGACGCTATTTTATACTTCCTTGGCGCATGGTAGCCGTTCGATCATGAATCAATGGCCAGCAAATTATGGGCCAAGTACAGTAATGAGCCAATTTTAGGGTTTAGGCCTATTAATATATCTGGTGTTTTTATTTTGAATTTTTGAGAACTTTGAATCTTAATAAATAATAAATAATACAATACAAAATTTTATAATTATTTTTTATAGATATATTTACATATACAATAACTAAAACAACTACAACAGTTTAAAATTGCAAAATTGAACCTTTAAAAATAGGAAAAAAATTTAAATTTTAAAAAATTAAAATCAAAACTACTAAAATAATTTTGAGACACCAAATGATCTCAAATGAAAATTTGATAAACATCAAAGTTGTAGAGGTCATAAAGATCTACAACTTTTATTTTGGTCATCTTGTCATTTGACAAAATTTGAACATTTCAAATTTGAAATTTTAAAAAATGACAAGTTCGAACCAAAATTTGAGATCCAAAATGATTTCAACATAAAATGTGATGAATACCAAAGTTGTTCAACTCATTAATATCTACAACTTTTATTTTAGTCATCTTGTCATTTGACAAAATTTGAACCTTTCAAATTTGAAATTTTGAAAAACGACAAGTTCGAACCAAAATTTGAGACCCAAATTGATTTCAACATAAAAAGTGATGAATACCAAAGTTGTTCAACTCATGAATATCTACAACTTTTATGTTGATTATTTCTTTATTTGACAAATTCTTAGCACACATTGTTCACTAATCTTACACATGTCTCATATAGTTTATAAAACCTTACGAGAGATGTGTCACATTTGTGAACAATGTCATTACCACTTTGTCATATGAAGAAATGACCAATACAAAAGTTGTAGATCTTGATGAGTTATTCAATTTTGGTATTTATCACTTTTTCAACTGAAATCATTTGGGGTACCAAAATCTTGTCTGAAGTTGATTTTTTTTGAAATTCAAATTTTAAATTGCTCAAACTTTTCATATGTATATATTGACAAAACCAACAAAATAAATTGATAAAGAATGATTTTAGAAAATTTTAGAAAAAAAATCATCAGATTTGGAGTTAGTATGAGGAAGAAAAACTAGTTACAAAGTTGACCCACAGATTAAAAAAAGAAATCATACTATTCACTATGATCATGTAAGGATCATCTAGAACCGTGTGATTTCTCTTTTTAATCTGTAGATAAACTTTGTAATTAGTTGTTCTCCCTCGTACTAACTCCAAATGTGATGGTTTTTTTCCTAAAAATTTCTAAAATCATGCTTCAGCATTTAAGTTTGATCAAACTTGGATGTGACAATATTTTATACATTTTAAAATTTGAAATTTGAAATTCGACAAGTTCAAACCAAATTTTCAAACCCTAAATGATTTCAGATGTAAAAGTGATGAATACAAAAGTTGTTCAACTCATCAAGATCTACAACTTTTATTTTGGTTATCTTATCATTTGACTAAATTTGAATCTTTCAAATTTTAAAATTTGAAAAAAGACAAATAGGCGCTCCTACAGATCAGCCCCAACTATAGGGGCGGCTCAGGTTACCAGCCGCCCCTACAGTGACATCTGTAGGGGTGGCTAGACTGATGGGGCCCGAGGACGCCCACTATAGGGGCGCCCCTAACCCCAGCCGCCTCTATAGTAAAAATGACTCCGTTCCTACTGTGAGAATTTGGCGTAGTGCAATTTACTAATACTTCACAACACAACAAACGTCCACAGGTGCGGAGCTAGAAATTGACTATGGGGTGGATGTGTGTGTGGGTGGGGTGTGGGTGTGTGGGGGGGGGGGCATGGACAACAAGTAGTGTAGATGAGTAGATGATTAGGGCCAGAGATCACCTGCTAAACTGAAGTGCACAGCAACGGTGGCCATTTGGCCGGCGCTGCCGGAGCAGCATAGCTTCACGTATCGCGTTCTAGTTCTACGGTGTCTTGTTGAGCTGTCCGCAATCCCCAGGAAGGTGAAGCAAAAGAGAAGATGACGTCGGGCAGTCTTTCGTATTCAGCGTCGTCCAATGAAGCTAGTCGAGCCATCGGATTGGTCTAAATGGGCTATTTCTTACTGGGCTCAAATACACATAACATTTAGGCCCTGTTTGGCAGGCTTCTCCAGCGGCTTCAGGAGCCGTTTGGAGCCGTTTTCTGCCAAACGGGGTAAAATGAAACGGCTCCACCGATGAAGCCCCTAAAAACGTGCTCTCACAGAGCTTTGAGGTGGGAAGGAGCCAAAAATAGTGGCTTCTCTCGGCTCCTCCTCCAGGCCCCTAAAAACATGCTCTCACAGGGAAGCCATTTTGCCAAACGGATTACCAAAACCGCTTCAGCTCTACCGGTGGAGCTGTTCGTGGAGCTGAAGCAAAAAAAATAACTTCACTAGTGAAGTGAAGCCCTGCCAAACGGGGCCTTAGACTGAATTAGGAGAGCTACTGTGTATATAACAGAGAGATCACTACAGCGTTGGAGGTGCCAGCCCCCACTCCCACCCAGGGTTCAAAATTTCGGTGAAATTTCGGCCGAATTTTACGAAATTCGGTAATTTCGGTGGTGGCTGAAAGAAAACTCCGAAATTTTTTAATACACTAATACATGTGCTATATAACTCTAATCTTATATTTTTCGATTGTTTATATTGCATATTCTTCTATTTAATAGATATGTAGTCATAAATCATACTAATATTTGTTTAGATCCATTTTTTTTTTAAAAAAACATACTTCATGTGCTAATCTCTAAAAAAATTTCGGCAAAATTTCGGCCGAATTTTGCGAAATTCGGTAATTTCAGTGGTGGCCGAAATTTTGGCGATGCCGAAATTAAAAACCTTGCTCCCACCACCCCTGAACGCCGAAACATAAATTACTGTGACATTGTTTTATTTCTGTTGCAACTGACAAACATGATCCTTTTCTAATAGAAAAAGAAAAATAGGAAAGAAAAAAAATAAGAAAGAAAATAAAAATAGGAAAGGAAAGGAAAAATAATAAAGAAAAGAAAAAGGAAAAAAAAGAGAAGGGCACTGTGAACATTTCACACTTTTCAACACATTGGCTGTTGGTTGCATTTACTCTGCCTCAACCATCCATGGTGCCCTACTCCACAAGATATGATCAATGCCAGCTAGTTGTAGTACATGATCATCAATGCTAGTAATGAGTGTACTATTTAACAATCCACGACGATATCTTTCATCAGCTACACCTCGGTCAAAAAAATATTGTTATCAAAATTTCTTAAATTTAACTAGATTTATAGAAAATATTAGCAATGTTTATATCTTCAAATAATAAGTTTATTATAAAAATATATTTAATAATCTATCTAATGATACTAATTATATACTATAAATATAAATATTTTTTATATATTTGATTAAAGTTAAAAACATTTGACTTATCATTTATTTTGGGAACAAGGGAGTACACAGGTTTCCCACACATTAAGTATCATAAAGTATCAAGGCACCCACAGCGCGTTCTAAGAAGCATAGTGTCATTTTTAGAGAAAATCCCTTCGTATGCAACAATCAAAGAAGAGAGAGAAGCACGTCGTCCTTTCATAAGAGCCGTTGCTAGAGGTTCGGCTTCAGCTAAAACAGCTTCAGTTATAGCGCGCCTGTTCATTTGAACTTATCAGCTAGAATCTATAGTATTTTTCTCTTACAACAAAACAGCTTCAACCGACGTATCAGCCGGATTTAATACCAGCCGAACAAACGAGCATATTTACTTGGCGAGCTGAAACAGTCTTTGTAGACCGTTTGACAAAAACAACTTTGCCTTATATATAGTTCAAAAGGACGGAATGCCCATAATACTTTTTTTCTTTTCTTTTCTTTTCTTTTCCAACCTTTCTCATTCACGCCTTATCTCTTCCCCTGTGTGTGGTCGCCTCGTATCCCTCTTCCCCGTGTTGTCGCGCCACAGGATTTAGATCCCCCACGCCACGGCTGCGGCTCTTCGCGCCCCTAAACCGTGCGCCTCACCCTGGCCCCGCATCTCCCCACCCGTGCCACCGCCTCTGCCCCCTCGTGCGACTCTGCACGGCGCAGCCCGGCATCCTGACACCCAAGCGGGCGCGTTGCCCCTGTCTCGCGCTGCGACGCCCGCCCTGTACCTCCGGCTTCACTCTGGCACCCGGACGCCTCGGCTCCGGTGCGGCAGCGTCCACGCTCCAGCACCCCGACTGCGCTGGAGGAGCAAGGGTTCTCAGCTTGCAGTTGCGTCTGGGGTGAGGAGGGCAAAACTAGAACTTGCCTCGCTGGCCGTGCGAG